ATTTGATCTACTAGAAACTTCAACTTCAATTAGAGTGGAAAGGTATCATGGAATGCACACTACTTGGGAACCTTTATTTTTAAATTTCCCTATGCTCATATGTATTGCTGAAATGGCTTACAGTAATTCCAATTCTGTGATTACTCTGTTGCTTAACTTAATATGTCACTTGGTTCATATCCATAGTAAAGTCATTAAGGGACATCACAACAGAAATCCCATATATATCCAGTCAGAGACCTTCACACAAGTGTAAGTTGAAATGCAAGCATCTGTTTGAGCTTTTCCCTCAACAATGGAATGCATTTTTAACTCTTGAAAAAATTTCAAAATATACAAATAATTATTTCCAGCCCAACTTCTATGTTCTCTGTTTCCTTAACATATCCTGCAGAAATTCTCCTAAAATATAAGACCAAATAGACTGACCACGCATAGAAAATACTAATTTTTTTTTGGTCATACTTTATTTTGATTGTAGAATATTCAGTGAAAATCCAATATGCATATTTGTCCATCATTTCTTTTTAACTTTGAGCAAGCCAAATTAACATTCTAACTCCACTGGATTATATTTGAATGAAGATAGAATTATTTCCCTTTTTCTTTTTCTTTCATTTTTAATTGTCTGCTAATTCCCTGGGAACTCAAAAATTAACATTCAAAGTAAAATAAGGAATGTGGAGAAACATAATTGATGATACTCTTGCAATTAGTTGTTTTCTGAACTGTGGTTCTAACTTGTTAGTTGTGAAACTCATTTGATGACCCAGCATTTGTTTTAACACATGAATATGATACAGAAAATACCATGGTATCTAGAGGTAATAGAATTCAATATTTTTTGTTACTGTTTTGTTTCAGCATGTGTGTGTGTGTGTGTGTGTGTGTGTGTGTGTGTGTGTGTATGCAGACAGGAACACATGCATGTTCACACATGCAAACACACGTGCACCCATGTAAGAATGTACTGACTTACATGAACATTATGATCTTACTTATAAACTTACTTATAAAGAACTACTTTATGGACAGGGGCCCTTGAGGCCCACCCTTGATGGGGGAGCTGCTGGTAGGTGATGGTTATGAAAGGAGGAAGATGAGAAATGTGGTCAGGGGTAGGTTGCCCATGTCCCAGTGAATGTCCCTAAACCCATGTGTGTATGGGCAATACTCACTGAATTCTGGGGATTGTAAATGTGAGACTGAAGTGAAGAGGACATGAAATTGCATAGAGACGGGGAGGGGCCACTAGGAAAGGAGGAAGAATGTGTGGTGGGTGGCCATCATCAAAATGTGTAGTGTAAGTATACATTTTCTAAGAATAAAAACATTATTTAAAAAAATCTATTGTAATAATGAAGTTGTAAGGAGCATGTTACCTCAGACATGTCAACAAACACATTCACGAGAACATATCAGAACTTTCCTTAACACTTTGTCCAAAGCAGGCCCTAAAACCCCAGAAATAACAACCAAGAGACCAGCTTTTGCATTGTCACTGTTAAGTCAGGTATCTATGGTTGTCTAAATACTTAGCACAAGCTTTTTCTCTAAGAGTACAGACGTGGGAGGCCAGAGAGTGGGCTTAGAAGTCAAGAACATTGGATGTGCCAGCATGAAGACTTGAGTTTAGATCCTGGCACTAATAAAGCACCATAAATGTAGTCTCCCGTGCTCATGTAACCCCAGAAGTGTGGCAGGTCCAAAAGAGAGAGAGAGCACGAGCGTTGGGCCCTGCTGACTTCCAGCCTAACTGCAGACAGCCAGCTCTACCCTCAGTGACAGACTATGATGCCAAAGAATAGGATGGAGCAAGACAGAGGAGTAAGTACCTTGATGTACTACTCTGGCTTCCACACACGTAAGCAGGCACAGATACCTGTACACATATTTGCATATGCACACATGTACTATAAACAAATACATATGGATGCATTTCTCTCTCTCTCTCTCTCTCTCTCTCTCTCTCTCTCTCTCTCTCTCTCTCTCTCTCTCTCTTTCCTGCAGACCCACTGAATTCTCTGCATATAGTATGGAAGAGACAGAGAGAATGACAGTACTTTAGCCAGGGAATGCCTGTATTGCAGGGATGCCCGAGCATTCTCTTTATTTGTGAACCGTCACAGTCTGATTAAAAGCAGTTTAGGGCTGGAGAGATGGCTCAGAGGTTAAGAGCACTGACTGCTCTTCCAGAGGACCTGAGTTCAATTCCCACCAACCACATGGCGGTTCATAACCACCTGTATTGAGATCTGGTGCCCTCTTCTGGCCTTCAGGAACACGTGCAGGCAGAACACTGTATACATAATAAATAAGTAAATAAATCTTTTTTAAAAAAAAAGCAGTTTAGTTTTGCCAATTTCTGGCTAATCTTCTTGACATGAATTAAGTTCATTCTATAAATAAAATTGGAATTTGAGGAGCAGCCATTAGAAAAATATATCCCCATTCTCATCATAGGGTTTCATTGTTTGTTTTCTAAGTTGTATTTCTCAAATCAGTTGCTCTCACTTACAAGTATTTATTTCATCAAATCCTATTTCTAGGAATACTTCTTGAAGTGGTCACTTCTCTAGCCTATTACCTTCACATCTGCCCTTTTGTCTTTCCTCAGATATACTTTCTTCAGCTTAGAGCTCTCGTTAGCTGCTCCAGAGGATAGGGCCCATCTATGCTTTCGCTCCTTAGCTATTTTGGACAATGGTGGTTACAAAACAATTCATTTTAAATGAATGTAGTGATCCATTTTATTAGATATGAGTCCTCTCACCTCAATATTATGCATTTCATTTTCCAAAATCGGTTTTATTACATTTTCAAAATGATATTTTATAGCAGTGGTGTGCTTCTAAATGGAAGTTTTCTTCCAGATAGTGTCATAAATGAAAAAAATATAAATTAGTACTTAGTCTTTTTTTCCCTTTTAAACATCCTCCATCAAAATCCCCCACCATTTCCCTTTCTTTACAAGACCCAAAATAGCAATGTCTGTGAGGGTTTCTCCCCTGGGAGTTTTCCACCACTTTCTGTGAAAGTCTAGAAAGACAGATGTCCTCAGAATGACTTGGACACCTGGGCAGTCTGAGAGTGGCTGCCATGCCCTTCTCCCTCAAAAAGACAAATCCCAGTGTGAAGCTTGGCTCCAGAGAGCTCATGCTGCCAGGATTTAAAATACTCCTGGGCACAGAGTAGGCACTAGCAGCCTGGTATTCTTAGCTAAAAGCATGTTTTTGCTTTGGGGAAACCCTGAGCTTTAGGTTTCCTGGGAGGCAAATATACCATCACACTCACATTCTCTTCCTTAGCTTTGAGTGTCCCAGAGAAGTACACTACTATTTAGATATTTTCTGACTCCCCATCTGTGTCTCTCTCTTTCTCTTTCTGTCCCTCTTTCTCTGTCTCTGTCTGTCTGTCTCTCTCCACTACAATTTAAACACAAAATACAAATTTGGGGGTAATATGGTAATGGGTCCTTGTGGTGTCCCATGAATATTATTTTGCATCGTAAGTATAAAAACCTTTCTAGGGATAGATTATTGGTAGGAATTTTTATAATCTGACAGTACATATTTAAGTTTTTATCAGAAATGCACTTCCAGTTACTTTTATGAATTCCACATTTTTCTTTAACTCTCGAATATTTCCATGTGAATGAATAACTATTCGTTTAATACTTGAGTCTTGGAGTCCTATACAATTGTAAATCAATACATTTTTTGGCAGTTTGAAGTGAGGAAAGAGAAACTATTGATTTTGATAAGGGATTTGGTTTAGACAGAAGCAGATGATTTTTCTTCAATCTCTCACCAATATGTAATGATGAACATTCCTGTGGTGTTTGTTATAATCCAGAATCTGGTGTGTTTTATGAAAAACAGAGAACAGACTTCTATTATATGTACACATATATAAGGAAGCCCAACCCATAGAAATAACTCAATAGATGTATTACTAGGTCTTAAGTTTTACTTTGACATCGGAAATCTGTCAAATTATTAGATCCAAGCAAAATAACCAAATCAGTTAAAGATAAGGGCAAACAATTTTTCCTTGGCTCACAAATTCATACTAATTTTATTTTGTATATAAGGCCTCTCTCTCTCTCTCTCTCTCTCTCTCTCTCTCTCTCTCTCTCTCTCAAGATTTATGATGTATACACTGTTCTGTGTGTATGCCTGCAGGCCAGAAGAGGGCACCAGATCTCATTACAGATGGTTGTGAGCCACCACATGGTTGCTGGGAATTGAACTCAGGACCTCTGGAAAAGAGGCTTGTGTTCTTTAACTCTCAGCCATCTCTTCAGCCTAAGGTCTCACTCTTTAGTCCTGGCTGGCCTGAAACTCACTCTGACGACAAAGTTGGCCTCAAACTCACACAAATCCTCTTGCTTCTGTCTCCTAAGAGCTAAGATTAAAGATGTATCCCACCATGCCCCCATATACTAACTTTGAAAGCAAGCACACTAATCACATAGAGTTAGACTTCATTGTAAAAAAAAAATATATCCACTTTGTTATTGTATGATGTATTTAAATTTGAGCTGTTTAAAGCTGGCACCCACTATTAGTTGTGTATACACTTTGATTTTCATGAAGTCAAATGGGACCACATTAATTGTAATTTGTTTTATTTCTAAATTATGTAATCCCATGGATGATTTAATGATGCTTAGAGGTACCAGACATGAAATAAAGAGAATAAGAAATGCATATATATCATATATATGTATATGTATATAACAAAAGTTAATTTTAAAAAAAACATAAGAAGCCATGATTTTGAAACATGGCACCAAAGGTATATGAGTGTGTTTTGAGGGATTAAAGAGAAGGGGAAAATGATGTGATTATATTTTAATTTAAAATAATAAAAGAAATGATCAAAATAGAAATGTCTGGCCTTAAGGAGCTCACACTCTACCGTATAAGAGGAAAAAGGAAAGACCCAGATCACACCATTTGCACAAACAACTTCATATTCTCTTGTCATTTTAACAGGTACCATTTCTGTCAACACACTGCGCACTCCTTACACGGCTCCTGGTGAGAGTGAGATCCTGGACCTAGATGATGAGCTGTATCTGGGTGGCTTGCCAGAAAATAAGGCTGGCCTTGTCTTCCCCACCGAGGTGTGGACGGCTCTGCTCAACTATGGCTACGTGGGCTGCATCCGGGATCTGTTCATTGATGGCCAGAGCAAAGACATCCGGCAGATGGCGGAAATTCAGAGTACTGCTGGAGTGAAGCCATCCTGCTCGAGGGAGACAGCAAAACCGTGCCTTAGCAATCCTTGCAAAAACAATGGCATGTGCAGGGATGGCTGGAATAGATATGTCTGCGATTGCTCGGGAACGGGATATCTCGGCAGGTCCTGTGAGAGAGGTAGGATTTCAAAATTGTAGCAACTCGTCCTGCTAGTAAACTAGAAATGCTTACTAAATATCCACATAAGCCTGAACTGAAACATAACTACTTCTAGTGAAGTAACCCACAGTCTGAACCCCCAGACCTGACACAGGTCTGAGGAGCCTTCCGTGGTTTTCACAGGGCCTGGTTGTGGGTACCACAGCTCTTAAAGTGTGCTTGAGATGTCTAATTCATAACTGCTACCTTGTTTGTCCGGTCCTTAACTGATTACAGATTCACTTACACGTCTAATGTTAAGGCTTAGTTGTGTCTATGCAGTCCTTGCGTTGACCCTTCCCTTTCCTTGCTAAGAAAAAAAAAAATGAGGCTACCTGTTTTTCTGTCTCTCCCCTTGTAAGTAGAGGAACGACTATTGAACACAGAATGAGGGTGATGTCCACAGCTGGTCTGGAGACCAGTATAACAGAAGAAATGCCAGGACAAATGGTTGCAAGCATGTCCTTCCATCGACCCAGGGCTTTAGATGAATGGTTTAGTCACTATGCTCATTGTCACTTATTTTCCAGAGTGAAACTAAAAATCAATATGAAAAAATATTGACGAGTTGCTCCATCGTCCTCTCGTGGTGCAAATAGCATTTCTTCTCCCTGAGGTACTCGGCCTAAGCAGTGCCAGGCACTTCCCATAAAGCAATGCATAGTTGGTTCTTTTCCTTTGTCCTAAAATAGTTTACTTAATTTGACCTGAAAATTCAAAAGGAAAAGGTTGGCATTTTTAAAACTCAAAATTAAAATCTGTGTAGTAGAATTAGACAGGTCAATAGATTTTTTCACATCGTGTAGACACAGCCATCCCCCTTATGGTATTGCCTGATTATTGTAATTCCCGTGAGCTGACAGAGTCTAGCTATTCCTGCGGACTGTGGCTTGAAAGAGTACACCCTTCATGCATTTCCTCTTTGCTTTTTCCTTCCTAATTAGTTTGTTTAGGTTGCTTTTGGAAAAGTTCCAAAAGAGAGGACCAATTGCCATAGCTTACAAAGTAAACTACATTTAGGTTCAATGTGAGATTAGCAGACCTGTGTGAATTAAATTTTTTTTTTAATTTGAATCACCCAGAAAGATGCCAGTTATCCTGATGCTTCTTGGTTAAAGGGAAGCCGGAGAAGGTCTTTCTTATGAATTACAAAACTTCCAGTTAAATATGCATGGTGTACCACCCTGTGGCAATATTCTGCTACTGCATATGGCAAAATGAAAATAGAAATGATAGAGCTTTCTGAGCCAGAAGGGGAGAAAGGGAATATTTATATACTGCAATAATTAGAGGCAGAGGTGGAAAGTATGTCCCAATTTAAAATGAGAATTTAATGGCAAACGTCATCACTGGGATTTAGTATACAGTTTTAACTTATGCTTAGCTGGAAATTTCTGCAGATCTCTGTCTCTAAGTCAGTTGTTTCTTGGAAATAAAATGATGATGCCGTGTTGTTTGTGTTTTAGATTATGGCAATGTATTGCAAGAAGTATTTTCTCTTCTGAATTGATGTTTCACCCACATGACTGTGCCTCTCCTGAGAGCAAGGGTGGAACATGATGGTTGCCAGGCTCAGTGGCACAGAATGCTGCTTCTGTCCAGTTCTCAGCTGTGCCCTAGTTCCACAGACAGGAGATCATGCCTGGCCCTCTCAGTTTCAAATTCCAAAGGAAGTGTTGGACTGTGTCTCTTCTCCAGACACACTCATACCACATTAGATGTTGATCATGAGAGTCAACCAACAATTCTTGAGATAAAAAGACAGTTATAGTTTTCATTTTATCATTCAGAATAAATTGATAGAAGCTGTTTCAGTCTATGCACATGACATCATAGAGAATGGTGCTGTGCTTGTCCCATATTATGCAAGCAAAGAAAATTACATAAGAAAAACTATCTGTGACTTAAACAGGAAGATATTTTATTCTATGTCCATTGATTTTTAAAGAAAGATTAATACAGAAATGATGGCCTTCATAAACATTAAATGCAGCATTTTCTTTTTATATCATTTTTAGTAAAAGAGTTTTGAAGGTTAGATCACTTAAAAATTAGTCTTGGAGATAATGTGAAATAAGAGCATTGGTGTAATCAGAGGTCTACTTTATACTTGTTTGTTAAAATTCTAACAGATGGAGGGACAGATGTCAGAGCAATATAATTTGGCTCTCTGTCTGATTTTCATTGTTGATCACAATATGTGACTGTCTTTCAGCAAAGCTGAGCACAGGTGTACACTTTTGACTACAAAGAGGAACAGTGCAGAAAAGCAAATTTATCAAACCTAATGACAAGAGAGAAGGGGAGAGAGAGGACCAAGTGGAAACTGTTGTTCTTCCTCACTGGGAAGCAGTGTCTTGAAATTATCCTTCTAAAGGACTCTTTTTTTATGTTCCAAATGATAAAATATTTTTTTCCAAATGTTAAAGATGCTGCCAAATAGCATAACCTTCAAATGTCAGAATGTTGTCTAACATTTATTTGGCACATTCTAGACTGCAACCTTGTACATTTTCCATTTCTTGCCTAATTAAACATCAACTCTAATTATGAGGAATCATTTATGCTTTCAGTTGTCGTTTATCAACAAGTTATCTTCACATTGAGAATTGTTTGAAATGGCACATGGGGGCACTCGAGTTTTATTACTTTACTATTCCTTCATTCCTGAAGCTTTTTTGGAGAATAGTAAAGGCTAATGAGCTTGATTTTTTTTCCCTCCTCTAGATGGTACTTCACAATATATTTACAGCTAATTGTTAATTGTTTATTTCAAAAAGATGTGTCCTCAACCTAGTTTTCAAATTAAGCAATTTTTAAGAAAACGAAGTTATTTAAAATATGATTATTATATAATAGAGTAGTTGTGCATATTAATTAACTAGAAGAAAACTAATAATGGTCTAGTATTTTTATCTATATGGCAGCAAAGTAACAAACAATCTATAATGATTCATTACTTTTATTGAGTTGTATGTTGCTTTGCATGATTGACCAAACATTAGAAGGGGGAAAACTATGTATCAAATTTCATATAAAGTTATATCAAAGCACATTTAAAGCTCATTATGACTTTACAGTCTTGTTTTAATATAAGATCAAATCATATATTTTAAGATCATATTTTATGTTCTCAGCTGTTAGGCCTGTGACTAACAACAGAGTATATGGATAAACAGAAATCCTTTCCAGTCTAACCTTCAGATTAGACATGAAATTATTATTATTATTATTTTGCCGTACATTGCCAAACTTTGATTGCCCTGGTATCAGAGAGAATAAATGCTTTATTGCTCTGAGGAGTGCTCCTGCAAGCTTTGTGTCCACATGCAGAGAAGTTCTTTCATGTGCTTTCAATGTAGATGGCAGTTGCTAATTCAAGAAGCATTTATAGTGCAGCGTCTCAGCTCTGTCTGGCTCAGTGGCTCCCTGGTGTCAGAGTGGTGAGCAACTGGTCTGCTTCCTCAGGGTACTTTCAAAAGGGCAGACGCAGCTGATACCACCCAAACAAATGAGAAATTACAGTTTGAAATGATACTTCGATATGGAAGAAACTGAGGAGGGAGCTGTGTTGTCCAGAAGAACATTTCACAAAAATCCAGACTTTCAAAAAACCCAAACACTAATAGATGTAGGGTGAGCAATTTCCACATACAAGCATTTGCGAGTGCAAATGTTTTAATGATGAAGGGACTTGGAATGGGTGGAATAGGTTAACTGCAGAGAATGATGATAAGAGCTGAGGGCAGAGAGGCTCTAACTTCGAAAGAAAAATAGAGACATGATTTAACCTGAAGAATGGTCAAATAGGGAGGGTGTCCCTCTATAAGGGTTTAACTTGGCTGCTGTGTGCAGAAAGAAAGGGTAGCTATAGATATACCACAGCGATAACTATTTTAGCTGTCTAGGTAAGATGAAAATAGAGACTGAAATAGTTTACAGAGGTTAAAAAACATCAACTGAGATTTAAAAATGTAATTATAACACAAAGGTCTGTAAACTTGAAAATAGACTGCCCACAGCAGGGAGAGTAAGAGAGAAATCCACAGGTTTGGTTTCGGACAGTAATGTAAACATCATTTACTGAGATGGAAGGGATTGAAGGGATTTGGAATGTGTTCATTTGGGGAAGGGCAAATTAATGGTGAGATTATAATTCCATTATAACTGGAGACATCAAATAGGCAATAGATGAAGAAGTCTTCACTAAAAAGGAGGAGGGAAGAGAGCTCACAGGTTGCCGAAGATCCATTAATCCAAGGCTGGGTGGAAAGAGCAGAGTATGAAGGAGAGAGTCCTAGAAACAGAGTGCAATACTTAGAGATTCAGGTTTCATGTTCAAACCTTGAACAAGAACAAATGACAGTTAAAATCGCCTGGAAACAGTCCTTGACTGTCTTGACTTTCTGAAAGATGAACTTTGAAAGCCATACCAGAAGATATTCTTAATAATAAACACAATTACACCAGTAAAGCTAATGACTATGCTGTGTAACTATCCAAGATAAATGAAAACTTTTAAGTTTATTTTCATTCCAGGTAGTTTTTCTTTTATTAAATGACATTTTGAATTCCCAGAAGCAACATGACTCATACTTGTTTCTCAATGTCCCAGTACCAAATGGCATTTAACATTGAGGGGTGCTGTTTCTTGAAGCAGTCTATCATCAGCAGTATTGCTAATAATTTCTTCACATGTTTAATATAGTGTTTGTGACTTCCATGTAACTTAATTTAGAAACACATGCCCACACAAATCCCTATTCCTACCTCCACCCCTATTTGATGTACATAGTTATAGATGATTTGGTGGTAATTCAATATTATAAGGGCACCATGTTTGTGCTTATAGACATTTAAATTATTTCTTATTTGTAAAGGAAAATTAAAATAAGGTTATGGTTTGATGTAACTTAAAAACTTTCCTTATTAAGCATAGTAACACAATAGAATCTTCTTTCTTACTAGTTGGCATATTGTTGGTTTTTATTTTCTTCTTTGGAATAGTAACTTTGGTAGAGAGGATGACTTCTACATTTCTGTAGTATTTCTATTTTAGAGTAGATAGTATAAAAAAATATTGAAGTAGCATCTGTTCATCCCCGGATTTTCCAGCGAGCCTTGGCTTTAGGTATCTTCCACTAACACCCCTTGAGCTTGTGCTCCTGAATACTCAGTCAGAGGCAGGGCAAAGCTGACTAATGTTACAGAATAGTCAGGGCCCTCACTGCCTATCCACACATGCATCCTTGCACTGTTTCCAACTAGGTTGAGACTGCAGCTATTCAAAACAGCATTACCTATGCTTTTTACAAGGGAAATGCTTATAAAATATTTACGGCCCCATATGGTCATTGCTGTAGCATATGCTATAGGTAGAGGGGCTTTCTGAGTGTTAGTGTATACTTGACAAATGAAGGAGTCTCTGCTAGGATGTCCCTTGCCATTACAAAACAAGAAACTTGTTGCTGAAACAAATGAGCTGATTTAATCATTGAAAACTTCAGCAGATACCTCTTCACCAAGTGTGCACTACACTAACCAAAACTGAACTGTATCCATTTTTTCCCCTAGAGGCAACAGTTTTGAGCTATGATGGGAGTATGTTCATGAAAATTCAGCTACCAGTGGTGATGCACACCGAGGCCGAGGATGTGTCTTTACGGTTCAGATCCCAGCGTGCATATGGTATTCTGATGGCGACCACTTCCAGAGACTCCGCAGACACCCTTCGACTGGAGCTAGATGCAGGGCGTGTGAAACTCACGGTCAATCTAGGTAACAATATGCCTTCCACCATTAAGCTGACACTTCTCACTTTTTGTTCAGTTTTGCCTGCAAACATTTATCAACTAGCCTGTTTGCTATGAAAAGTTAAAACAATCAATTAATGCTTTGGTGGGCATCACTTTTTTTTTATGTTCAACATAATTTAGTGTTTTGTGATTCCTACCAATGAGGGTTTGGGGAAGCCCTATCAGTGAGATGATTTTGAAACTTTGAATTATGAGGCTTTAAGCTGTCTCAAAATGGATTTTTTTCTATTATATTTACTGATGTTCTAATGGGTGGTAGATGACACCCTTGAAAAATAAATAAATGAATGAACGAACAAGCTCAACATGTGTTAGATAACATGCACATGAAATCTATCGAATTTATACTTTGACGTCTAGAACAACTGTTGTTCCTGCTTCCTCCTTGGGCTTCTCCTTTGAATAGCCATTTTTGTGGTCCTCCATCTCTTCTGTTTTGGAGTACTGTGTGGGATATTTTGCTGTCATTCAGCAATCCACAACCCTTCAATGCCCAAAGTCTGCGGCCCTCAGCAAACAGCCACGAGAACAGTAAGGACGCAGGCTCCTTTACAGAGAGATAATGCTTTCCTGATTAAGTGTACCAACAAAAATTGTTGCTACTGTAAAATCTCACAATCTAGATGAATTACGGAGCAAAACCAAAACAAAGAAAAGCATTGAACGGCAGAATTTCAAAAGTTTCAAACTTTATTATTTTTTAGTTAAATTTAGCTAATTTAACCTCAAATTAATATAAGCTGTGAAATGTTGTGAAGGGATGGGCTTAGAAGTTTATTTCAGTGAATGGAGGAGAAAGAACCTAATGAGATCCCGGTTCCCTGCAAGTTCTACCATCAACTTCTACTGAATCCTTGAAGCTAGCTTTCTAGCTGTGCTTGACCTTTCAAAATCTTTATTCATAGGTCGCCTCCCCCCAAATGCCTCCATACCAAGTAAAGATTTAATATTCTGCCCAATAAGTTTCAATATTATCATTAAATCCAAATAAGTGAAAATGAATGAGGATTTACTGTATTTCATGACAGTAGTAAATACACACACACACACATACACACATGTGTGCACACACACGCACACATGGCACGCACACACGCGCAGGCACACACACATATGCACGCATGCATGCATGCACACTCAGGCACACACATGCACATATACATACACGAACACACAAGCATGCACACACACAGGCACGCACACACACACGAATCAGGAAAGGAAGAAAAAATTTGAAACCATGTAGATTTATTTTCAGAACGATAATTAGAAGAAAACAACACGTGACATTTATGACAACCCAACCTACATTTTCAAATTGTGATGAGTAGAACAGTAGCTTATAAACTAGAAAAGTAACTCTTGCTAGCTTATTGCAAGTAATTACGTTCAATAATACAAGTTAAACTAAGTTAAACAGTATAGTTTTAAAAAAAATGCAGTACTGTTTATTGTTCTGTTAGAGTTCCCTCTAGTGACAATAATAGGTTACTACAAGAAAATGGAATAAATGGCTTAATTGCGCCAAGAGGCTGATTGCTCGAAATGAGAACATTTGGAGGGATTCTCACCAGCAAAGCATTCTGTAGAAGGAGTTGTGTAGCTGCTGGTCCTTGGCTGTTTGCAACCACTTTTCTGATGCGGTTGACGACACATGACAAACTTAGCTATATGGACACAGAATCTAGGTTTATATTTTCCATGTTCCCCAAAGGCATTAAATAATAAGACAAAAGCCAAAAAAAAAAAAATGCACTTCTCTCACCATAAAATACAATCAAAACATTCTATGCAATTCTTTAAAAATAACCATTGTGTTATCCACACCAGCCATTCTGTTTCATATCTGTTTTTATGTGAAGCAAGCACACAAAAAGAAAAATCAGAACTGTACTGTTAACTGTGATCCTCAATGTAGCTAAGAGAGGCATAGCCCTGTGTGCTGCACAGGATGGCTGGCTACTCCACAGCCATTGTAATGTCTAAGGATCCATACAGTTATTTCTTTTCGCCTTCAATTAATACAAGGTGTGGAATCCACCAATATCTGGTTGTTAACGTTTTGTGCCCCAGAAAATCAAAAGAGAAATATATATATATATAATATTGGGATGAGAAAGAATAATTTTAATGTCTTTCTCCATTTGACGACTGCAGTTGTAAAGAATTCTGTCAGCCTTTGTGGGATATTAGATTTTGGAGGTCCAAGATGTCTGAGCCTAGCTGAGCTTGCACTGTACCCCATTGTGACGGAGCACTTTTAACTTTTGCTGAAAATAATCGTATGTTCTTTCACATATGGGGAGGATGTTGCAGCCAGTCTGAGTCAAGCATCTTTGACAGTTAACTACTTGTTACCTCACTTAGATATGTCACCATGTAGCTCTGTTTGAATTGGCCATCGTTTTAAACATTCTCTTGTTTCTAATGGTACGATTTTATAACAATAAATCTGGGTTCTAGAAGTATATAAAGAATAATGATATGGAGTGGCCAAATTTGCATGTGTCTGTCCCCGGAAGGGTGGACTGTAATTTTATTGGATGTCTGCAGCTATTACCTTGAAGGATAAATATTCATTTTTCATCTATTCTTCCCCATCTAGATTGTATCAGGATTAACTGTAATTCCAGTAAGTGCCTATTCAAAATTTTTAACTGTTTTCCTCCATTGCAATGTAAGCTAGTCAAGGCAAAGCGAGAGTAAGAGAAATGCACTTATAAAACTCATGATCTCACCTTGCAGCATACCAGTCCATCATCTGGGGTGTAAAAATTCATTTTATATTTAATCCATCCAAAGGTTTCCCACTGTGGTTCCTACTCCTATGTGGGAAACAGAAGGTAAAGCTGTCTATAGAGGCTATCAGATTATGCATTGATATTTGGTCAGAAATTGAAGTACAGTAGTTCCCTTCATTGTTAAATAGGGGAAAATACCATGAGCCTTATTTCCTTCTGTTTCTATCACTTAACTCAAATATATAAAAGAAATGTTTAACTTCTCTTATTTTGAGAATTATTAATCATCCTTCTAAATTCATACAAAGATTTGCATACGAATGTGTTCCTCACCACCCTACATTCTTAGAAAATTTCTGAGTCTGAAGAGTTTATTCTTGATTATTAAGAATTTACATGATGAATTTTTACATCCTGATCATATATTGACAAAAATAACTAAAACCATTCAAATGTGATATGCATGCCAAATGACGAGTCAGAGAGATGCATGGACTGAGTTTTACTTGAATTTTGATGGAGATCTGAAACGATATAAGGACTGTGGTTTTATTTTGAGTTCCAGCATTAAGTAATAAGTAAATCTATTCCATTTCTTTATGTGAATGTTTAGATTTTTCTTTTCCAGGTTTTGCTGACCACATAATGAAAGCTCATCCAATGACCACAAATTCATTAACTACTTAATAAAATGATTCTAACACACCTCTAATCTCTCAATGTCGTAGTAAGATTCCGGTCTCTGGCCCTGGAAGAAAGCTGCCTGTGAGTTGGTGGGACGTCCAAAATATTTGACTGTTTCCAAAGGGCAACAACTCATTCTCTGAGAGGAAAAATTGTAAAAGCAAAATAACTTCTTTAATAAATACATATTATTGCATATGCTTGGGTTTGAACACAAGCAACTGATACTTGTCCTCACGTGTGGTAATATTTTTAAGCAAGAAAAAAAGGTGAGTCTGATAAATCACAGAATCAACATTGAATTATAATCTACAGCCAGCTGTGGCAAGCACTTAAAAATGATCAAAATAATTCCTAAAAATTTTCTCTCTGAGCTTTAACACAAATGCAATTTCAAGTCTGCATCAGCTCCTCTCCAGCTGTTCTCCTAGATACCTTCCTGAAAAGGAATTTTATAGATTTTATAGGTCTGATTTTATAGATCTGATGCCCCGGTGCCCAGAAGTGCAGACAGAAGCACATTGGCAGCCCACAGAGTATTCTCTCTCTTCAAAGGTAGCTTTGTACCTTAATATAATGGTCGAGTCTACTGATTCCTGCTGAGTTGTAGAAAATTCATGTGGGGAAAAATGTCTATTTTTACACCTCCCCTTTATGTATTTTTTTATTTAATTTGTATTAAGCACAGAATAAAACATTAATTTTTTAATTATAAAATGAAAATATACACTCTGACAATTAATGGAAAAAGCTAAGTCAAATGCAATTCTCTGTTGTTTAGCTACAATTGCTTAGAACATATACTGAACATAAATAAGTCTTCTTAGACTCAAGTCTGCTTTGTCTGCTATGAGGCTCTAGTAATATGATACTACAGACAGTTTTTCCCCATACTTTGCATACTTCATATAATAATAACTTTGAAGACAACGATTTTCACTGGTTAGTGCTTTTTTCCTTTTTAAAGTAGTGTAAGTTACACTTGCACACTTGAATTAAATGAGTGGATCTCAAGCTTTCAGTGCACACCCCTGACAGGACTGCAAATGCCTTAGCTTGACAGTAGGCCCTGGAAGAAACATTCACTCACAAGGTAATGTTCCCATTTTCTTTTGCCTTTGTTTTGTTTGGGGAGCCAGGGGCAGATGTAGTGAATTTCAAGAAGATGAGTCAAATTTGAGGCTAGTTAGGAATTTATGTTTCAAATAACATTCACCTGTTTTCACCCAAAGCACACTTGTCACTCAAGCAAAAATTAATTGGAAATATTTGTATCTCAGTCTAACTACAAAGAGCAATTAATTGTGTACAACTTTCATGAGCCCTAGCTTGTCTGACACTTTGACAGTCATACACATTTACTATGTCACACTCGCGTGGCATCAATGTCTTGAAATATTATATGAAGTACTTAAATTGATATATTTTATCACAGGCACTAGATGGACTATAACAAAAAAGATTTCCATAAATTGAAAAATTATACTCTAAATTGTTCATATTGAGCGGGAGCCATCTGAGATTTATTTCTGCACATTGACTTTGAATTTTAATATTTTGATCTTTTGAATGGTAAAGAAAAAGTGTCACAGACCAATCTCAGTTTACTGCCATACCTCTGCCAATATCAGCATGAAAATATGTTAGCTCTCTGCAACTTAGAATTAGATTATGGTCGGTTTGAAAACCTGTGGGCTGAAAGGTAAACATGAACACTTATGGATCTCCACTGTCCTCTGCTCAGGGTCACAAGGGGAAGGGAGATGATACTTTCTTATTTCCTGCTCTGAGAAAAGCGAATCTTGGGTGTTAGTCACTTCTCTGTTGGAATAAGCACCATGACCAGAAGCAACTGATGGAAAGTAAAGTTTATTGGGCTTGTGACTGCAAAGGACTAAGAGCCCGTCATGATGACATGGAGGCAGGTGACATGGAGGCAGGGGACAGGCAGGTAGGTGATAGGGAGGCAGGAAAGCAGGCTGCAAATGTGATGAAAGGAGCAGGAATCTGAGAGCTCACATCTTGATGGCACAGTGGAAGTGATCTGAGCCTTTAAACTCTCCAAACCCGAGCAGTGACATCCTTGCTCCACCAAGACTGCATCTGCCCATTGTCTCCCCAAATATTGCCATCAAATAGGAACCAAGGTTTCAAATACCTGAGACTGGGGAAGGGGCATTTCCAGTTCAAACCATCACACCTTGACTCAATAATTTTGTAATGCAATGGCCAAAACAAACAAACAGAAAACCCCAAACCAACCACCACATTAGTGCAGATAATTTCTGGGTAAATAAAGATAATTCAATACATTTAGTTGGGAAAGGACTGAGAATTCACATCCATTTAACATAAAGATGAAGAATATTTGAATTAATTGAAAAAACTATAGGCTACTTGACAGAAATCATCATAAAACTATACTAATATGAACTAAATAATAATAAATATTGTCAAAAAAGTGTTTTTTAGCTGAGCCTAAATAATTGGCTATGAAATAATATTACAAAAATGTATTTGGCAGTCTCTTGGCTGTTCTGTAATATTAAATGACTTATGTTTTTTAAGACTATAAGAAATTGCAAAAGGAACTTTCTATTCCATGTAGAAATTTCTCAAATGTTCTGTTTGTAGGGACTGTACAAAGTTTTGCTCTTAGTCTGTATTCTTTCCATTGCAAAACCATATAGCTAGAATCTCTTTGAAACTCCTGAATTAACAAGAGAGGTCTGATTTCAAATTGGATACACAGTGATTCCAAACAGTATGTCTAAACTGATTAGATGATACTTATTTTTTCTGAAAAAAATATTGCCTTTGTAGTGATGTATTGGTTATTTAATTTTTTTCTACACATCCTTAGAAGCATTTAGAGCGATAATCTTTGGAGGTTAAAAGATATTGAAAATTTGGAAGCCAGATTTGCATTCATGACCCATGGTTGGGTCCTAATGGTCATAGAAATAACTACTTTCATTTTGTAGTGGATATAGTAATGATTTAATTTTGTTGTTGTTTCTTTTTTTTTGCTTGTTATTCTCAATAGTTTTTGTTTTTTCATAGTAGTGGCATATTACAGAATGTTCTTACCTATAGGAAGACATAAATCCATTACAGCAATAGATTGTGTGTGTGTGTGTGTGAGAGAGAGAGAGAGAGAGAGAGAGAGAGAGAGAGAGAGAGAATGGGAAGGAGGGAGGGAGGGAGGGAGGGAGTGTCAGGGGTGGAGAGAAGAGGAGAGAGGGTGTTCAGACCCTTTCAAGTGCTAGAGGTTAATGCTAGGTCTCTTTCTCTGAAGTTTTCCACCATCTTTTGTGAGATGGAGCTCAGCAGTTGGGTAGACACACTAGTTAATGACCTCCTCCTCCTCCATGTCCCAGAGCACAGCCGGTAAACACTGCCTATGAGAGGAAGCTCATGTTCTCATGCTTGGCCGGCGAGCACTTGCCTCACTGGACTTCTCCCAGCCCGAGAAATGGATTTCACTAAATCGTGCTCTCTGCTTTGCTTGTTTTCTTTGCCTTTCTGATTGTGTGCTGGCTTCTATCCCTCCTTCCCTGCTCGTTCCTCCTTCCCACTGCTCTCTCAGTTTCTTTCTGTACCTATAATGTGGCTTTCTTCTCTTTCCTTTCTTCTTACTTCTGTAAGAGAAGAAAACCTCGTTGGGGCTAGGACAATTATTTCAGTAAGCACAACTTTCAACTGCTTTTGGCTTATCGTACCAAGTGATCTAAGATGCCTAAACAACAAAATTGCAGAAGCTATTAATGTGGACAAAATGTCAAGGGGTAAAGTTCAAAGTCTTTTTACAGCACAAAGCCCCAGTCCTAGAGACAGACGGGAATCTAAAGCCAACTACTTAACCTCACTTTTGACTTGGAAAAAGATAAGCAACATTCTAAGCAGTATTGTTATTGGAAAATGGACTTTGATGGATGCCTAGGGTGGATAATAAGATCTTTGTATTATCATTTTATTACCAGAATGAAAAGATCAACTGGATATTAGCTATCACCAATTTTTCTTTGTAGATAAAAATGGAAAGCAATAAAAGAATGCAAAATGTCAACCTGTGGCACTTAAGCCATTTTAGATTGCTGTGATCAAGCTGTCTCTTGGCAATGCCACTTAAAAAGATAGGCGTGCATTCTGGGGGATGGTGCAGATTAGACTAGAGCCAGCATGCAGCTCAGAGCTGCATGGTCCC